ACAGTGGTAATTCAGCCCTGAGCTGAAGAAGTGCTTATGAAGCAGCCAGTGAAGGCAGCAGCTCCAGGTGTGTTTTGTGAGGAGCTGTGTCACTGCTGGCGTGTGAACCACGGGCAGGAGCTGCCTTGGCTGGGCAAAGGAACATGTTGGACATCATAAACCTCTGAAGAAAACTCAGAGTGTTAGTGCTGAACACAGAGGTTAGAGAAGGAAAACAAACCCTGGGGAGGAGTTGATCTAGGAATCTAGAGCAGGCTGGCACACCAGGAACCCACCGTTTGGGCTGCAGATGGCTGAAGACAACCTGCAGAGCTGTTGAATTATTAATGTTATCTCAAAGGATTTCTTTGCATTTTACTATTTTTATCACTGTGGAAAAGCACACAGAGTTTTTTTTTTTTCCCTAACAATTTATTTATCTTAAACTTTGCGTTAAAAAAATTTCCTTGAAGCTGAAAGCTCTTCCTTTTTTAAATGTTTTTACCTTGCAAATGGTACAGGTGAGCTGCAGAGGCAGCAGGGGTCTGTGTTCCTGGACTGGGATAAGTTGTGTCCATGTGGGATATGTTCTGAGTTACTTCAGCACCCTTTCACTGGGTTTGTGTGCAGTTCTGTGATGGAGTGGACCAGGAAGGTCAGGGTTTTGTGTGCCTCTTCAACACTTTCAGCCTTTTCCCTGGCTGATTTGCAGACCTGCATTCCTCAGCGGAGCGTGGTACCAGAGCCCTGGGAATGATGCCTGGGCAGATTGTCCTCACTTGTCACCTCTGGGCTGGGAGCCCAAAATGGGAAGGATTGAGGAAAACACAATTTTTTGGTGCTGCAGAGTGAACTGGAACTCCAGAGGGAGAACAGTGTTTTGTGTTGTTAAATGCTGCTGCTGGTGTTCAGTGTTGGAGACTTCCTTGTTGGGGAGTCTAATGGCACATCTCCAAAGGAGCCAACATCCTGGAGTTACCTGTGGAACACCTCGCTGGGTTTGCCTGTTGGTTGAGAGGCTTGTATTAAATCTGTGTAAAAATGTCCAAAAAAAGTCTTTAGGAAGAGAGTGAATTTCCTGCACAAGCAGGGAATTGAGCCTCCTGGCCAGTGAGGGTTTCCAAATGAGACCGAGAGGAAGATTTGGAATCTGGAAATCTGTCCCAGTGTTTGTGTTTAATGTTGATAACTTCACCCTCAACTCTGTAAAATAACATAGCAGTGTATATTTCTTGTTTAATGCTGACTTAATCTTGTGTTTATATTAACTCACAGAAGCAATTTGAACTGACTGGCATAAACCCAGGCAGGTTTCTAGCACTTGAGTGTTCTTCTGGGTAATGTTTAAGAGAAAGTTTTCAGCTTGCAAATTGCAGTGAAGAAATCAAATATTTATGGGTCTTAAAATGTCCAGTCTGAAATGTACCACAAAATGCAAAATTTCTCATAAATGCATTGGCTTGTTCTTGGTATTACTTGAACTGGAAGTTACTAAACTGTTCTTACTCGGGCTGTAACAAATCCAGCACTGCTGAAATTGGCTGTTTTGGTTTCAGCCTGGACTGGAATCACTTTCAGGGATGCTCCAATAGGATCAGGTGGGCTCCCTGTGATGATAAAAGTTCACATTTTCAGTCAAACTCATTCTTAGGGAGATAATGCCATGTTTTTTTCTGGCTGAAAATAGCTGCAGAAAGTGCACTGTACTCACCTGCAGATCTCTGAATGAAATAAGAGATGAATTAGAAATATTTTACAGGTTCTCCGATCTTGAGTATAAGATGTAAATTTTAATGTCAGGTGCTTTGAAAAGCATCTTCTTTTCCGAGCAGATGCAGAACTCCCTCTGCTCCCTGACTCCCCTTTCCGATGGGTTTGGGGAGGAATTCAATACCATTGCTTCTCAGCAAGAGCATTTTGACTGAGTGGATTTTGCAATTTAGCTATTGCAGGTTCTGACCCAGAGTTATTAACCCATTTTAAATTGGATGCAATACAAGCTTGGGAATTGTATAGCTTTTTTTTTAACATGCAAACAACACTCCCCAGCACAAAGCCCAAGTAAGAGCTGCTGTGGTCTGATCTTGAGCCTTTGCTGAGAAAGCATTTTGGATATTGGGTTTCTTACCAGCTTGCCAAACATTCTTCTGCTTCATTTTTTAATTCTAACAAAAATCCATTGAAATGTATTCTGGGAGATATACTCTTGAAATGGGAAAAAGAAAATTTCCACTGTCTTAATGACAGATGAGAAGGTCCTCATACTTCTTGTATTAAAAAGATTTAAATATACAGTGAAGTTTCTGGCATGTTCCAAGAGCTTAGAAATGTCAAAAGGGTTATTGGGTTTTTTGGGCTTGGGGTTTTTTTTGTCTGCTGTGTGTGCTGGCACCCCCATGCCCTGGGCTGATCCCCCAGCGTGGGCAGAGGGCAGGGGGGGATTGTGCCCCTCTGCCCCTCAGGTGAGACCCCCCTGCAGAGCTGCTCCAGCCCTGGGAACAGCACAGGAGGGACAGGGAGCTGCTGGAGCCAGTCCAGAGGAGGCACCAGGATGCTCAGAGGGATGGAGCAGCTCTGCTGGGAGGAAAGGCTGGGAGAGCTGGGATCGTGCAGCCTGGAAAAGGGAAGCTTTGGGGTGACCTGATTGTGGCCTTGCAGGACCTGAAGGGAGACTACAGGAAAGATGGAGAGACTATTTCCAAGGGCCTGGAGTGCCAGGACAAGGGGGAATGGCTTCAGACTGCCCGAGGGCAGGGTTAGATGGGATATGGGGAAGGAATTCTTGGCTGTGAGGATGGTGGGGCCCTGGCACAGGTTGCCCAGAGGGGCTGTGGCTGCCCCTGGATCCCTGGGAGTGTCCAAGGCCAGGCTGGAGCAACCTGGGCCAGTGGAAGGTGTCCCTGCCCATGGCAGGGGTGGCACGGGATGGGATTTAAGATCCCTTCCATCCCAGGCCATTCTGTGATTCACCCCCAGGGGTGGATGAGGAGGAGCAGGTCAGGGGAGAGGAGTGAGCTGTAATTCTCTTGTTTGCAGAATGAGTCGTAGTGGAATGTGAGACTTTATGTCCTTTGGGAGAGGTGGCAGAGGGGAAATCACCCCATTTGTCTCTGGGATCAGTTCCTGTTCCTTTCATTAGGGGTTTGCTGTCAGTTTTCCTGGAGAGGTGCTTATTTAAAACCCCGAACTTGGGAACAGAAGATAAATATCAGCCTGTTCAGCATAAGTCACCGATCAGACATTACTAGCAAAATATTGAAAAATAAGTCAGTATTAGACTGCAAATGGGAAACAATAAATACGGGAGATGGAGAAGATTGGTTGGCAGGATACTTTCTCTTGGAGGAATGATTTATATGTTTTCATGCCTCCTAAGTTATTTTGTCTGTAGTTTCCTGTGTTTCCTTCAGGGTTTTCAGTGTGTTTGCCAGCACGTGGTGACTCCTGGCGATGTTTGTGCCCCTCCACACCCTGCAGCACTGTGGGTTTTCTGAGGCCCTTTGTGCTGGAAAGGTGTCCCTGTGGGCAGGGCAGTGCCAGGAGTTGTGTAATGGTCAGGTGTTTTGGGGAGGGAGCAGTTTGGGTGGTGCTTTTGGGTGGTCCATAACACTCTGCAGCACTGAAGGGTCTGCAGGACCGAGCTGCATCTGTTGCAGGTACCTCTGCTTGGACTGTGGATTCTTTGGAATTCTGAGGGAGTACCCTGAGTGCACCTGTCCTTAGTGCTGAACTCCATCCCATGATGAGCCACCCCATCCATGTGTGGCTCCTTGGGAAGCCTCGTGACATCCTGGTATGGGGATCCCTGTTCAGACTCTTGTTTTCATCTCTGTGCTGCAAAGTGCTGCTTCCTTCTCCTCCTGGGCATGAGGAACTCCTACATGATTGCAGGGTTTGTTAGCAAGAACACGCTTTGGGATGAAGCCATTAACCACATTTCTTGCTAGATCCTTACTCTGTGTTCCCTGTCATGGCCATAGGAGTGAGGAAAAGCCACCAGCTTTCTGTCCTGGTGTTGAGCCTGTCCCCCTTCCATGGCATGAACAGTGTCTGGCTGCTCCAGTTTCCTTATAAATTATCCATCTGTGTGGCTCTAGGATTTCTCTTAAGTGTGAAATTTTAGATTTTTTTCCCCTCCTGTTGTGAATTGCAGTGGGGGTGTGGGTGTGCAGACAAGCACTGAGTGCCTGATGGAATTACTGGGAGCCTTTGTTTTGCTTCTCTGGTTTAGGGGTTGGGACGAGGGAGTGTGGAAGAGACCATGAAGACATGCAATAATAGTTTTCAACAGTGTTTTTATCTGGCTGTGGTGCTCAGCCATTGGTTTAATACAGGTTTTCAGTCCCAGGTGAGGTTTGGTGGGCTTGGGTTTGGTACATTCATGGTGCCCACATGGCAAACCCCATGTGCTGCCTGGGCAGTGTCAGGGTGATGCTGGAGCAGCTGGAACAGGCCCAGGGAGGGATCCAAGACAGGATTTCTCCTAAGAAGGCTCTCCAGGATAACTAAGGTGTGCAGAAAACAAAGAAGAAATGGACTTAATGTGTTTGTTTTGATGTGTGTTTGTTTGTTTGAGGATTTTAAGGTTTAGTTTGTCACTTGGGGGTTTTTCCATTGTAATATGCTTAGTTTTAATATTAGAGATCATGCACTGCATTATAATATTGATCAGGGACCGTGAATAGCATTTCCTCATGTTTTAATAATATGTTTCAGCTGGACAATGGCTAATTTAAGATGAGTAGCAGAAGTTCACTGATATCTATTTCCATGCTCAGAAAGAGAAGAATGGGCTCTGGAAATAATAATAAAAATAGTAACATAGGGTCTAAGTACTGTTCTAATAAAAAATATGAAAAATGTAATCAGTCAGGCCTTGCTCAGAATAGTCCATGTGAGAGAGCAGGTAAGAGAGGTTGGTTGAAACCCTTCAAAAGTTCTCAGAGTGGTAAAATTTGAACCCAAGTGAAAATTGCTGCTGTTTCTGCACTAAGTAGGTGTGTTATTGCCTGTCTTTGCAGATGAAGACTGTAAGTGTTGCCTTAGTTTTGTGCCTCAATGTCGGCGTGGACCCTCCTGACGTGGTGAAAACAACTCCCTGTGCCCGCCTGGAATGCTGGATCGGTGAGTCCCCAGGGCTTCCAGGCTCCAGCTGACCCTGAGTCCTGCAAATACTGAGCCACAGCATAGAAGGGCATCTGAAAGTTGTGAATTTCCTGAACTTAAAACTGGGGTGAACAAAAGGAAATCTGGGATCTGATTTCTCTCTCTCTGTGGGTCACTCAAGAGTCCAGCCCCAACTGCTGCCTTAGGTCATGTCCTGCTTTGTTCTGAAATGAGATACCATGGAGCAAACCAGCTGTTAATGAGCTGCTTTACTTCCTTTTAATTGTGGTAGATTTATAAATATCTGAGGAAATCTGTGAGCAGTTCCATCCTCAGAGTGCTGGGGTCTGCAAAGCTTTGAATCCCCCTTTGCTGCCTCACACAGCAGAGCAGGGAGGTTTGTAAAATGCAAGGACTTTGCTGTGTGTTGAGGTGGCTGCTCCAGGGCTGTTTTAATTGGAAACATGAATTCAGAAGACCTGGAATTATTCCCAAGGATGTCTTGCCAGCAGTTCCAACACCTGGTTTTGCTAGTTTGATGCACCGTCGGATTAAATTCCTAGTCTTTTTGTGAAGCAATGAAAAGTTCCCTTGGTTTTTGGAAAAAAAAGTCTGATTATCAAGATGAGGCAAATCTGAAGTAATATTAGAAGGAAATATGTTGTGTACAAAAGCTTTCTCAGAGAGATTTGTTTTTTATCTAGGAATCGGGAACGTTCAGCCTGCAGCACATACCACTGTAATCCTCAACTCTGGGGCTTAGACAGGCCTCAGGAGCAAATTAATCACTGCACAAACGGAATTTTAAAGAAAAAACTTTCAGAAGATCTTGTTTCTAACCTTGCTTTACCTGCTTTCATGAATCACAGCATCTCAGGTTTTTAACCTAAAAATGCTGATGACTTTGAAGCAGCTGAAAAGCCCTGAGCAGGCAGGAGCAGATCCATCAGAGCAGGGGAGGGAACAGCTCTGATGTCCCACTGATACACCAGCAAAGGGAATGAGGAGCATTGCAGAGTCATTTAAATAAAGTCATTAGTGCCTATCATTAGCAAAGAGAATTTTGAATGCAGTTTTGTAATTAAATTTTCAGTGTGTGTATGTACACAAGTGCTCCTTCCATTTCCAGCCGACTTGAAACTTCTGAGAAAGGTAATTGCAGAAATGTGGGATGTTTTCCTTACCCCAGTCTCAGGAGAAGCGAGTGGGGTGTGTGAGAATGTCTTTGCAGATGTGCAGGGAGGTATGAAACTCCTTTTGCTCCAATTGCAGTTTACTGCTATAATTTAAATAAGATCCTAGCTTTTATTCATGAAAGAAAAATAACTCATACAATCCTGCTTTCATCCTACTTTATTATATTTTCTTTCCACCAAAAGTACAATATTTGTAAAAATTAAAAAAAAACCCTTCATTGATTTGGTTAAATGCTTTTAAAATAATTTATATTAAATAGTAAAATATTAGTTTCTAGGTTGGTTTTTTTTTAAGCTTGTTAATAGTGTAATTATATGTTCATGGTATTTGAATAAAGCACATAGACTGGAATTGTATTGCTATGTATGGATGGTTGTAATTATCTAGTGATAAAATTAACTTCTTAAATATTACAAGTGGCACATTATCTGAGAAGCAAGAAGCAAAGGAAGTAAATGAAGCAGGACTTTCATCCATCAAGAGAAAATGTTTATCATCAAATATTTAATCAGTTTGAATTTTTTGTCAGTGTTTACAATAGAAACCTTTTTTACTATTGAAGGAAACAGATGCAATGCCTCTCCTGTCCTTCAAAACAAAATTGTGTTTAGTAGCTTAGTGAGAGAAATCCTCCAGCTTTGACAGTCTGTAATGAACTGCATTTGTACTGAAGTTGGGTGTTGCCCCAAGGACGTTCCATGAGGAGTGACAAGTTTGTGAGTTTGAAATCGGTCATGAAAGGAGCCTGTGTGACACTATCAGTGATCTGAGGGGTTCAGCTGGGGTCAGAAATGCTCCTCTGTGTTCTGTTCCCAGATCCTCTGTCCATGGGGCCTCAGAAGGCTCTGGAAACCATCGGGGCCAACCTGCAGAAGCAGTATGAGAACTGGCAGCCAAGGGTGAGTGTTCCTGGGCTGTTTTCCTGGTGAAACCTTAAATGACTGAGTCTGTGCATCATGGTCTGTTGAATGCCTTTTTCTGAAGTGTTTTTAAGCATGTTTCTATCAGAAGGGCTTGTCTTGAAGCATTTATGGTAGATATTGTATTTAAGACAAGAGAATTTACTTTGGTGTTTTTCCTTGTGGTACACTGACAATAAGAATTTGGCAGAAAATTCAAATAGTGCCTGAAATCAAAAAGGAGAGTAAAACATCTTGATGCAAAGGTGAAAACAGTCCCTTTTCTGTGCTCTGTAGTGGAGTCCCTGGTACTGAGGGGTGAGGGACAGGTCAGAAGGAGCAGGTTCCCTGCATGGGCCTGGTGGAGGCAATCCCAGAGCTTGGAGGTGAATTCCTGGTGAATTCCTGGTTCCTGCAGGAAATCCCAGCCCCTGAAACATTGCAAAGCCAAACACGTCCTGGTTTATTGCACTCCACAGGGCTCTTGAGTTTTCTGCAGTAATAAAGAGAAGTTGATGTGCCATGTGCAATAAAACAATAGGAACATTATTGAATTTACTAGAGCTTTCATATAAATACTAATGCATCTAGTTTGGTCTGATTCTCAGTGGTTTGGAGTGGTTTGGAATGGAGGGAAGGAAGACAGTTTGGGGAAAACGGGACAGTCTGAAAAAAAAAGACCAAATGATTAAAATCTTCTGAAATAGCCAATATTCCCAGGCTGTCAGGTCCTCCCAGCACGAGCTGCCTGTCAGGAATACCTTGTTGGGAATGTACCAATGGTGCTGATTCCTGGTGATGGATCGTGGCAGGGATGGACACTGTGACCAGTCCTGTGCCATCACTGCCAGTCCTTGGCTGCTTCTGTTTGCAGGATGTTGTTCAAACACCCCCCTTTGTGTTCAATACAAACAGCTTAGCTGAAAAAATCTGTAAAATGGGTAAAGCTTGAAAATTCCTTATTTCTGGAAGCTCCCAGGCTGCACAGCTGATGGATATTTCCTTCCAGGTCTTATTGAGCCCCTTTCTAAATAATTTATCAGCTTGCTGTTGCTTGAAGTATTTGTTCTGATTAAATTTAAGACTTTGCTTTATTGTTGTGTAGCTAAATAAATTTGTGTGCTGTGGGAGTAGAAACCACTTCAGCTGTTGTTTCATCTGCAAAATCCCGCAGTTAAGCAATATTCAGACATATCATGCAATTCTCAAATAAAGATTGTGCTGGGGAGGGAGCAGGAGATGACAGAGCTGGGGCTCGATCTGTCTTGATAAAGAATCCTCTGAACAAGTCAGAGTTCTTGCAGCTCAGTGCAGTGACAATTGAGGGGCTGGTGAAAAAGTGAAAAGAAACCAAGACAGCTCTTCCCTAACATTCCCTTGGGTCATGGGGTTTGAGTGTCACTGGGCAGGGAGGGGGTTAAACCTGAGGGTAGTCTAGAAGGAGGTTCAATTACAGGGATCCAGGGGGCTGCTGAAGCAGCTGAGAATGAAAGGAGAAAAGGGAGGGAAAGGCACTGTAGTGCCTGACTGAAGGGACCTTTGCTGGGACTGCTCCCCTGGTTTGGGAATTTGCAGCCTGGTGGGCTGGGGAATGGCTGGAGGAGCCCAGTGGAACTGGGGCTCAGTGGTGGCAGGGCCTGGAGCAGAGGGTTTGGCAGGGAGCATCCAGAGAACATGTGGGAAAGGGGAGCCTTTGGCTGAGGCAGCACTTTGTACCACTTTAACTGCCCAGAATAAAATACCTGGAATTTCTTTCGGAGGTTCCTCGCATGCTCTGCATTTAAAATATTTAGATAAGGAATTGATTGTATTGAAATGGAATTTCTCTGCTTCTGACCTTCATTTATTCCCCCCTGCAGAACCTGCCTGCATTAGGTGCAACCCTGGAGTGAGTGCCCAGCCAGAGCACGGCTTGGCTTGGGCTGGCAGTGAGTGGCAAATAATTTCCCTGTCGTTGAGGTGTGAATTCAGTTTTCTTGGCTTCACTGCATGTTGTGCCATGCCAAAGGCAGGAACTTGCCTTAGTTTAAGAGTCAACAGACTTTGAAAATAGGACTAATGGACTGTGAACTCCAAGTGCTGCTGCAGAGAGATGGTTTATGGAGATGCAGGAGCTCGTGGGGATTTTTATGAGCAGGAGTTACTGCTCTGTAAGTCCCAGTTTACCTCCATTTATCAGTAGAACCTGGGACCTGGCTCTGTGCTGTGGCACTGCAGAGCTGAGCAGAGGGGCTGGTGGGAAGGCTGAAGGTGTTCTGCAGTGCTCTGCTGCTCCTGTGCTCAGGGACTGGATGGAGAGAGTGTGTTTTCTGCATCCTCCTGGCTGGAATTGTCAGAGCTGAACCCCAGCACTTTGTATCAAAGCATCAGCTACCCTGTGAGCACTGATGCTTGCACAGAACCTGTGGGATGGGCTGGCTTCTTAGAAGGGTGCCAGGCTTTGTTCCCCCTCTGTCTCCTTCCTTGGCTCCCAGCCTTGCCCAGACAGTGAAGTTCCCTGAGTTTCCCTCCCTGTGTCTGAGCCCTGAGAAGGGGCTGTGCAGCTGAAGGCAGAGCTGTGGGTTGGATGATGCAAGTTTACATAATAAAGGACCTGGTATGAAGTAGTCTGGAGCATATGCTTATTAAATTTGCATGAAATTATAGATTTGCTTTCTCTTTGTTGGCAGTGGCTTTTGACCAGTTTCTCTCTTTAACTCTAAACTGACCAGAACATTCACAGGACTTTTTCTTCCTTTTGCTCAATCATTTGGACACCTCTGGTGTGATTTTACTGGTCCCCATGAATCCCAGTGTCACTCCTGCACCAGGTGCTTTTTGCAGCCCTGTTCCTTATTCTCTGATGAACTTTCCCAGCCCTGCCAGGAAGGCCAAAATGTGCAGTTCATAACCCTTCCTGGGCAGAGGTGAGGCAAGGAGGATGTCAGACACACACTCCTCCAGTGCTCCAAGCTGTTCTGAGATCCTACAGAACTACTGTAGTGGGATCTTGCAGCTGTACAGAAACCTTTATTTCAAGTTGAAGGTCAGTTCTTCTGTGGAACTTGGGACTTTTTACATCCTCTGATAAGTAGCTTCATGGGGTGTGAGAGGTTTGTGCCTCTGTAAGATTTCCCAGAGCAAGTCTGTAATTTGGCATCACCAGTCCCTTCCTGCCCCTCCAGGTCAGGAGCTCCAGGGCTCCTGCACACCCTGTGCAACAACCAGCAAGGCCAAAGAGCTCAAAACATCACAGCCCAAAGAATTTCCTCCCCTTACACCCACTTGCCTAAATAAAACAAAGTCAGTTACAGTATTGATGTTTTAATTCAGGTGCTACATTGTTGTCTCCCTTTTCCTTCTCTCAGTTTCCTCCTCTTGCACTAAGAGAGTCGTTTTGAGTGTTTTACTTCTCTAATGGAATTAGCTGATTTCATTATAGCTCCACCTGAAGGGGATCCCTGGGGTGAAGAACTGTGAGCTGTGAGGGGGGATGAAAATCCTGGATGGGGGAAGGACTGGGGAAATCTAGAAGACAAGATTAAATAAACTTTTAGAAAGCCTTTGGGAAGGGTGGATTGGAAGCAAGTACTGGTGTTTGGGAATGCCTGCTCCTGGAGCATCCCTGCTCACTGAGGGTGGGGGGACACTCCCACAGCAATCTGGCTTCTGTTCCTGTGCAGTTCTCTTTGTGATGCTGCATTCCTCACATCCATGGCAGTTGTTAAGAGACAGGCAATAACATGTCTGCACTCATTGATCTGGCAGATCTGGGCACATTTTGGGTCTTTCCAGCCCCTTTAGTGGATGTGGTTGTGCCCATTTTCCCCTTGGTTCAGAGAGGTGACACCATCCAGGAGCAGGACTGCAGCAGGGCCCGGGGGAACTGAGAAACTGGGTCCTGATCCCAAACAGGCTTGGCTGCTGCTGCTCTGTGGGCACGGGCAGAATGTTGGTTAGTTAGTTAACTAGTAAGTTAGTTAGTTAAGCTATGGCTGTGTATGATCCTTTCCCCAAGTGCTTGGTGCCAGGCTGGGACTCCCAGCACTGTGTCCCCTTGTGCTTAACTGTACACAGGTTTTTAATGCAGATTTTAAATGAAGGGCTTTCCTGTGTTTCTCTGATCCCATCTCACCCGTTGTGTGATGCCTCTTGCCTCCACCAGTGAGTGATGCTCTCTGAGGACACACCTCCTCCAGTATGGGTAGATTATCTCTTTTGTGACAAGCCTTCAAGGAAACAGTGATTTTCTGATCAAACAGGCTGCGTCTCCCTCTCTCCTAGTCTACTTCCCAACAGTTTTCTCTTAATTTCAAAGGAAGTACAGCCAAGATACTTGAAATGGATCATTGAAAGCCTCTACCTTTTAGTGCCAGTTGTCTGTTGTTGATGCTGTTGTTCCCCTCATTAGAGATCTCTGGGCTTTGATAAGGTTTCTGAGGTTTCATTCCTTCATTGCTTCTTTCTGCCTAATTAATTGGGAAGTTGCTGCTGCACATCAAAGGGGGAGCATTTCCTGAAGAGTAACTACTTAAGCATGAAAACTAATTGAACACATGACCTAATTATTGGTCTCTCAGTGAGTCATACTTTTCCTTTATTTCTGTAGGGTTTTTCTTTTAAAACAACAGCAAATACTAATTGCTCCTGCAGAAGAAATGCTGTAGAATTCCAAAGGGGAACATGGGAAAACTGGTACTTGGTCTCCCTACTCTGTAGATGCAGGAACATGTAAGGAAAAAAGAATAAGAAGGAAAGAAACAACGAAAAGACAGTGTGACCTTGTTTAACAAAACCAGGTTTTCCTTAGAGGACTATGTTTGTTGGTTTTTATTTCCCAACAGCCTCTTGAATTTGGCAGCTATTTCAGGCTCTGCAAAATTCTGCTGTATCAATCCTTTGCTGTCTTGTTAAAGATCAACTGTCTTCAGCATAAACCAGCACTTTTATTTTTTCAGAACAAAAAAAAAAAGTCTCTCGTAGGAGAGGAGTCAACAAGTCTAATTGCCAAGCCCAGTTAT